CTACAAAATGTAGTCTATCGGAGTAGAAAATATGAAAAACGTTCAGGTTTATGATTGTGGAATAATGGAGTGAGAAGGCTAGCCTTGGAGTTACTAGTCATAGATGAGAAGTCAGTTATCAGTCTTAAACAGCTGGACTGATTGGGATATTTATTATGTTCGCCTGAAAACCGCCTATCTTGGCAAAGGAGGAATATAGCATAATAAAACTAGTGGGGACAAAACCAACAAATAATATCAATCCTTGAACTCATTCGATGCCGGTTAAAGCCATGCTGGTGGATTCACTCCAACTGGTTAGAATATGAATGATAAATAAAATATGTGGTTAGATGAGCTGAATGATATATTTCAAAATCTGTCACAATGACGGATATGTATTCACATATATAATTGAATTCATACTATACACATATGTATAACAAATATGTAGTTAGACAGTATTATACTGGTGGTCGGCGGCCTATGCTCCATTGGAAGTAACAGACGTAGGTAAGTAAAAAAGAAAATTATTTATCCAATTTCTTTGTTATCTATCTACATTACTGTGTGATTTAAATATGAAATTGTTTTATAGTTATAATCATATACTTAATATATTTTCATTATTATTCTATACATTTCAGGTATACCCTTCAATGTGTTCTACCATTGAATATGTTCTTGGAGAAAATTTATATCTTTTTATGGTTTTGGCATGTATTAATTGCTTGTATTAATTTAATTAGTTTTATCATATGGATTTATCGAATATTTTTACCAAAATCAAGAATGAAATTTATTACTGATTATTTAAAAGTATTAAATTTAATTCCAATTAATAATCAATTAAAAATCGATAATAAAATCAATGAATTTGTGAATTATTATTTAGGTTTAGATGGTTTATTTGTAATACGTTTAATTACATCTAATTGTGGTATCCTATTAGCTAGTGAATTAACAGCAGAATTATGGAAAAGTTATCAAAATTTATTTCTAGAACAAATTACATCGGAACCAACATATTTTTGTATAAATAAAACAATTAATTCTATAAAGAATCATAAAGATCATTCATCCATTCATATAAAACAATTTCCAATCATTTCAAATAGTTCAATGCCTAATACAATAAATCCACATTATTGGACAAAACAATCAAAGAGTAATCGTGATGATGATCATGATCATGATGGTGATGATGATGTAATCAATTCTATTCATAAAGATTCTATTAAATATAATCAATCAATTAATGTGATAAATGATCCTATTTTAAGTAGTTGTTCACCAATTACAACAATTAGTCACATGTCAACTATTAATAATAATACTAAGCTGAAATCAACTCAAACACATCGATCACATCATGGACGATTAGGTAATTCATCAGATGATATTGTTTAAAGAAAGAAAAATAAATGGTTATTTTATTATTTTTCTTTAAAATATAATTCACCTCAGAAAAAGTAATAATAATGAAACTTACATAATGTGGGAATGTGTGCTATTCACTTGAGAAGTATAATTGGACACAATCAATAATGAATTCATATTGTTGGTTTTCATGAAAATATAGTGATTCTTTTCTCCTTTTTTTGGTGTATTGTTTTGTGTGGTTGGTTACATGAATTATTGCAGTGAGGATTGGATTGTATTATTGATCTGTTTAGTTTCTTTATTAGTGATCTATTCATTTTTATTTAAATAAAGAATAATAATCTTCTATTCCAAATTAAAATAGAACAGAAGTGTATGAATGTATACCAAAAAAATATTTTTTATGAAAATCTTTATTAAAATTCATTTTAACATACTTATACTACTAATAAGAATATGACTACTACTAACATTACTATTATTAGTCTCATTTAAAAGAAATGAAACGTGTTAGATTTTTATTGTTTAGCTTATCTATTCAAATATAATAAAGAATATAAAATACAATTATAACAATTATGAACTTATTTTTGAAGTGTTTCATGTCATGATTAGTTTAATATTCAATGAATAATACGCTGTTGTTGTATATTTATTTATTATTGTTCTGTGTTACAAGTGATTAATTTTAATGATAATAAAGTAGTTGCATTTTTTGAGATGAATAATTTAATCTAGAAGTTTTTCTAGTGACTGATGTCAAGAGTTATTTCCCGAAGTTCTGGTGTTAAGCAGAGACCAGTGGAGTTCAACCGTGTCTGTTGTGAGATAGTAATCCCAAGTTATTTGCACGGAACTAATACTTAGACCCTCATATATACATATGATTGTACTGTGATGTGTGATACTGATATCGACAGATATAAGTGGTATGTATCACCAATCGAAAGTGAAATACTGGCAGTAGAAGGTTAAGAAGATCGAAGAAAAGAGAACGAGAACAGTGAATGATTGGTGTGGAAATGAAGGAATAGTGAAATCTGACACGATTAATTGACATTTCGCAAATGAAGTATTAAGTGTATGATTCACAGACTTGACTAAGTAAGATATTCTGTAATTTTGTATTCAAATACATTCGATTGTCCCCACTTATGTTCTCGTTCACTACAGTACAGCTTAATCATGAATTCGTTGACAAGAGATTCCTTCAGTAAATTTCGTGTTCTTTTTCTTAAAAAATATTTAAATGGGAATTATATGTCAGATCTCAACCTTAGTGATAAAATAACCTTTTCAAAGAAGAAATCCTTCTTTATTATAACACCAACTAAAGTAAATCATACCAATTTAGAAAAAAGATTGTATGCGTATGTTTTCCGACAAAATGAAGTCATACCAAAAAGAAGAAAGATGGGATCAACTTAGATTAAAACAGATAATTGTAAATAATCATCGATAACAAAATAATTTACATTTTTGTGTATGTATCAGTCTATATATACAAATAGTGGTTATATACAGTAAAAGATTAGTGAAAACTAAATAGATCAGTAAAATTTAACGGTTTAATTACTTCTTTTTTTCTCCTTTTTCCATACATCAATCTATATACTACTTTTAACAAAAGTAGATTAATAAAACAAGATCATAATAATAATAAGAATCCATTGAATAATCCTCTTGTAAATTACTCTTATCATATAATTGGAGGTCGGATGGATTAGAAAAATGAAAATTCTTATTTAACTAATGAAAACCTATAGAGTAGTTAAGAACAATTTTAACTCATAGTCGCATAACTAATTTAAAGAAACGAGTAAATATCTAGTTTAAATAGACTTTTGAATGTATACACGTATAGACGTACACAAACAAACAGATTTATGTGTATACTAGATTACTCTATTAATGTTTTCAGTACATTAATCTTTTCTTTTAATCAAGAAACTGTTAAATATTCAGTTTAAGTTTCTTCATACAAAAATGATTAACTAAGATTTTTCTTATCTTTTAATCATATGAACATTTTGTTAGAAATAGAACAGTTGAGTTGTAAAAATGGATTGTTATAAATTTGAAATAAAAATCGTCCAACTATTGTATTGTCTTCACCTAATTTAACTACTCACAAACTTTGGTTTAATGATGAATATTCATTGGGGTATAGAGTATAAATATTTATCGAAAGAATTTAATCATGAATAACATGTTGACAGAGTAGCATATGATGTGTTAAATATATGTATGTTCCTGCATGAGATATCTGATAGGGTTCATAGTTTAATTTTCATGTTCATTAAATTTGAGAGATAAAAACTGGGACACTTAATATCGGATTTAAAATCCGAATAATTGACTAGTAGTGAACTATTCCTTTCAGAACTGAAATGGATAATGTGTGACCTAATAGATGTTACTCAATTTTCTTGGAACTAGTATATCCCCATTAGCTCCGTGAAGATTGTAGGCATGCCTTGCGGAACAACCTATACTGAACCAGATTTAATTGGTTACAACATTAACATCAACAATACTAGATTATGAGTCAACTGAAGCTGGCCCGCCATGGAAAACCTCGATAGCCGTTTCATCTTATTGTGGGACTCCACAGTGGCAGTACGCATCCACGATCCCGCTCGTGGGTTTCAAACCCAGGACCAACTCGTCTTGTGTGCGAGCAATTAACCACTGGGCCATTGAGCCGGCATCCAACGGTGTTAATGTAGAACATCAACTAATCCACGATATTGAGCGACATATCCACCATTATCATCAGTGAGTTACTATCTCACAACTGACCCGGTTGGCCCCCAAATGCTCTGGTACGGCTGAGAGTGGAGAGAGTCAGCTCGCCCTCTCGAAATGCTCTCACATGGCCACGCGTATATAGCCTCTGCCAGGGAAGTCCTACTCGCTGACTTTTCGCATCACAGGTGTTGTTTACGAAATTGAGAGGACGAAAAGCGAACGTCCGGCACTTTAACCCGGTTGATGGACACGGATGGTACAACTAGGGGAGTTGGAAAACCCTGATTCCAAACCAATGGTGCACATGGGCTCCAGTATCCTGAAGAAACAAATGGCGCTTGAACCAATCGTTGTCACCGACTACCATGGGACTGCATCTCCTGACGTTTCTTCACTGCTTTGTGGTTCATAATTTTTGTTCGAAGGCTCCGGGTGTGATCCCCTTAGAAAACCACCTGCTTCGGCTTGGGCATCCGAGCAGTATCACTGCCCTCGCACATCAAATGAGATTTGCGTGGCGCATATGTATTTCGTGCCTCATTGTACCAATATCTGTGTTAAAATAAATAAATAAATGACCCGGCTGAACTCCACAGGTCACTTGCTTCTCACTAGAACCTGAGGATATACTTCTTGAAGCCATTCACCAGTGAGTATATGGTCGTGGTCGTGGATACGCACTGCTGAGGAGTTCCAAAATAGGACGAAACGGCCATCCAGTGTTTCCAGGTTTTCCATGATGGTCTAGCTTCAATTGACTTAAGATCGCAATGATTGGAATTACTAAAATCTCAACAAAACCCCTTCCAATACCAGATTACTTTAAGAACTCTAATTAAAATCTTTTTCAGATACATAATCTCATATAAAACAAAACAACAACAACATGAAATGAATAAAAAAATAATTTATTCACAAAGAAAAAAAAATATTGAACAATAAAACCAAATGAACCAAACAAAAAGAAGAAAGAAAGAAAAAAAACAGTTTCTATACAGTAGAAAATATTTAATGAAAGTTATTACATAGTAATAATTTTATTCTTCAATATATTTTAATTCATGAATTAATTTCATAAGATATTCAATTGGTAATTTATTGGTGTCAATTCGATGTATAATCCGATAAATTTTCATTGCTTCTAACCACATATTCTCATTACGTAATAATAAACAGAAATTATATCCCATTTTATAATAAATCATTTGATTAGAATGATTTGATTGAAGTAAATCAATCAATGAAGTGAATAATTTAGAAAAGAATTTCTTAGAAATGATTGGATCATTACATGTACTACTATTATTCATTAAATTTAAGTAATATTTATAGTGATTACATATGAAATAACAACAGACATATGAATCTAAATAATCAATAATCGAATCATTATCTGTTATATTAGATAAAATAGACAATGTAGAATTGATCAAATCAATATTAGATTGTAATAAACCATTGCTAAATAGTGCAGCTTGATATGTAATTGGATAAGATGGGAATGATTTATTGAAAGTGTAATAATCTGATAATCGTTTCAGTCCGGCTTTAGTAAATTCAATTGGTGGAATACAAAATTTTGTCCATTGATATATGAATAATTCAGAGTTGAATAATTCATTGTTCATAAAAATTAAACCAGACTTTTCACAGTATTGAAACCAAAGTATCCATAAATTTTGGAGAAAATCACATTTATCTGGTAGTATGTCTAAACACAAGGAAATAAAAGGTAAGTAAGCAGTATGTTATCTATGTTATACAACAGGAGAACTTTAAATACTTATCATTGTGTTGCATTCCTAAATACTGTGGAACTCTTAAAAATGCCCTGGTACGGTCGAGAGTGAAGAGAGTAAGCTCTCCCCTTCCAAATGCTCTCACACAACCAAGTGTATACACGCATTGCCAGGAAAGTCCTACTCACTGATTTCTCGCACCACGGGTGTTGCTTACGAAATTTACAGGGCAAAAGCAGAATGTCTGACGCTTTGACCAGGTTGATGGATATGGGAAACCCATTTAGGGGAGTTGGAAAACCTCGATAAAGTGAGTAAAATTAGTACGGATATCTAGGTAATAAAAAGTTTTTCAATTATTCAAAAGTGATATGATAGTTGTGGAATAATTGAAAATTTTAATTTAAAATGAACGTGTTTAAAGATGTCTAAAATGACAATGTAACCTCTACAAAGAGCTAAAAGAATACAACATCACCAAAAGCATCCAATTTAGTCATTAATCTTCATCATTCATTCACAAGAACACGTAATAGAGAAGTATTAAAAATCTTCGACCATTGAAATGACCATTCAATAGTGGTCTAACATCAGTCGGTTCAATCAGAAACTTAATAATCTCCATAACCCTATACTAGTAATTACCATGTGCTCAGTAGTGACTGGCTTTGTGATAGAATTCTCGGAGTTTTACTGAGAAGCCGTGAACAATGTAGCTAATGCGTGTCGGGTAGAGATAACTATCTACTTCAGTACAATAGAAGATGGTCGCGGAATTTCGTGAACTGTTTGACGTTAGACATTATCACCGTTGGATACCGGCTTGTTCTCTCTCGAGACCGAAGGCCCCGATTTCGAATCCCGCGGCGGGTTCGTAGATGCATACTGCTAACGATTCTTGCAATAGTACAAAATGGCCGTTCAGTACTTCCAGGTTTTCAATGGTGGTCTAACATCGATCGGCTCATAATCTCAATAGAAAACAAACAAACAATTGAAATTACCGTCGATTATGATAAGATCAATTAATTCAATAATTGATCTTAATAGTTCTACATTTTCCTTAATCATAGTAAATGAATCCTCCATGAAATCGTTCATTAATTGATGATGATGTTCATCATTCTTATTAATCATCATTAAATTTTGTTCAAATAATTGTATTATACTATTTTGAAATTGATTTATATCATCTTCAATGCATAATAATGAAAGTTGACTATTCAATTCAGATAATTGTGAATTACTAAATGAATTTTGTAAATAATTTAATGTTTTCATGAATATTGTAAGTGTATTAGTAAAATGTAATTCATCCCAATCATTAATAGGATTAGAATATGATTTTAATAAATTTTTACCAAATAAACGACGTATAGTTATATTTGATAAAAGACATGTTAAAAGTTCTATAGAATCAATTCGATATGGATCATTCAATGGATCATGATCATGATCAGGATCATCATCATCATCATTTTTGATAAATAGATTAAGAAAATCATTAAGATGTGGATAAATTAATTGAACTTGTGAATTAGTAAACATTTGTGTTGATATTTGTTCTTGTTGTTGATTTATGTTAATTTGTGAAAAATATTCAAAATTTAATGTAAATATTGATGATAATAATGAGAAACAAATAGATAAGTTTTCTTGTAGAATATTTAACCAAATCTGTAGAAGAAAAAGAAGAATCGATTGAAAAATTATTCCATTTCAATTTATATTTTAGTTATTTATTTGAATATATAAATATTAGTACAAAGGGGCATCGAAAATATATATGTGCCATACAAGTCACTTGATTTCTGTGTAGGCTATAATACTGATCGGATACCCAGACCGAAGCAGGTGGTTTTCATAGGGGGCTAATCGTTGAGTCTTTGATTCAGAGGTATGACCCACAAGGCAGTAGAGCAAGGTCAGGACATGCGGTCCCATGGTAGCCGGTAATTAACAATAGGTCCATACAATATTTGTTCCCTCAGGATCTTAGAGCCCATGTACACCATTGGTTTGGATTCAGAGTTTTCCAACTCCCCTAGTTGTACCATCCGTGTCCATCAACCGGGTTAAAGCGACGGACAATCACTTTTCGTCCTCTCGGCTTCGTAAACAACACCTGTGATGCGAGAAGTCAGTGAGTAGGACTTCCCTGGCAGTGGTTGTATAAGCGTGGCCATGTGAGATCGTTGGGAAAGGGAGAGTTGACTCTCCCTACCCTCCGCCGTACCAGGGCATTCGGGGACACCTTGCATATAAGAGAACATGATTCGGACGAAAACAATTAATTTATAAATCAAAGTAATCACACCTTATTACAAGCATAATTGACTATGAGGGCATAAACAAACCAAAGAGTAGCTGTATTTGATAGATAACATTTTATCTTTCTACCTTAAAACGTGAATCACATTGAGCTAGATTTCCTTCTATAAAGTTATGATGATGGCTACGAGTAGAATATATCATATGCGTTAAATTCTATTCGAAAATTGTCGGACGGATGAGGTTGTATCCCAGTATTGCTATTCAAATAGGAACTAGAAACCAACGTATTTCACTTCGAACTTCAAAAGAATTTGTAATTAGAAAGTATCACTGAAGCGCACATATGACGACAGAGACGGATCAATTATAGTCTTTAAGATCAACAACGGGAAAATACAAACCTTTAAAAATAGATTTTCAGTTACCATTTACGTGAAAGAAGTGAACAAATAGACCGAGAACTTGAATAGCTTAAAGGTGTTCGAGTGAATGCGAAACTACGCACTCAGTAACTAAGTGGTATGAAAGTATATATAGTAGTGCAGCAGATGAATTTACTGTTTATCTCCCTCTTAAGTTTTTAGCTTCAATATTACTGCATACTTTTTTTCATCCAATTCATAATTTCTTTCCGAACTAGATTCTCAGATGTTTAGTGGCCCGTGGATCTGACTCCAATTAGATCGTATGGATGTTTGCTATCGCCTATTCTCGTATATCATCGTCGACTTAAATCACGTTAGTCAATAACGGAATTAAATAAGTCAAATAACGAGAATGGGATTTTAAATACATATTTTGTATATGAGGTGAATGGAATCGAAGGAAAAGAAGCGACGCAGAGTGGAGATGGCTGGTAAGCCAACTAATTTTCAGTCAGGCGTTAATCAATATTTATAGGCAGACAAAAATAAGCTACAAACATGCAATGAGTCATGAGATATGATTTGTACGCACATATACGCTCATATAAAAACAGTGAAGAGTGATAAGCGAACAATTAAAAAGGTCAACATATGACCCAAGTAGAATGAATAGGTTGGTTTGTCCGAAAACTAGAATAGGGTATATGGTCTTAAAATAATAACTGACACTACAGATGTTCAGTGTACTACACTAGCTTTGATAATAAAATTACTACAACCCTTTTAGTAACCACATAACCAAGACGAAATGAATGACAAAGTTTTAATATATCTCATATGACATTACCCTATTCATGACTCGTTATCTGGTTGCACCTGGATCCAAGAGTTAATGTTCACCTCAGGACATGAAACCAGTATCGCTCGTTTCAAATGCCATCACATACACTCATCTAACGAGTTCCAAATAGGGAGAAATGAACATCTTGGATTCCACTGCTAGATAAAATTCATGGCTTGTGACATACTGGGAATGCTAAGGCAATCCGCACCATGGGTCATGGCTCAGAATCGATCACAATGATGTAGGTGTATACACTATTTATCTTCTCATAACTATGAGATAAAAATCGCTTCATATCTTTCTTTCTGTACTATATGCATACATAAAATCTTTCTTTTACATAATAAACCATTAAGTTAACTCCTATGAATTCGGTGTTCATCTTGCTGTGCTAATGAGGTATGGCAACATGGACCGATGCATAAATGTGTCTGGTTCTACGTTGTAACTGACTGACCAGATGCACATATGCTAATGGAAAGACTGATCAATTGTAGTCCTCAATAATATCAAAGGAAAATCTAAACAAGCAATACAAAAGGAATAATGATAAATGACAATAATGCTTATTCTGAATAAAAACCAATATATACATGTACATAGAAAACATACTTCATTTTCAATATTTAACGTTTTCAAACAATGTGGTAATAAACAGCCAAGAATTTGTAACTTTGTAGCAATTTCTAAGCAAACCGAATGAGATGAAATATCATTGTTACTATGTTGATGAATACAATTCAAAGGATTATTAATGATGGTAAAGATAAACTCTTTAAGGAAATCAATTTTAGCTAATTGATTAGTTGGTTTGATACTCATTAATTTATAATAGAATTCTTTAGGTAATAAGAATTTATTAATAAAATTCTTATTTAGATCTATTTCATTGAAATCATCTTGATCATTGTGAATGGTATTCTCTTGAGGAAATAAAATGTTATTTAATAAATATAAAATTTGATTGAAATTTAATACATAATCATTGATCATCTTTTCAGTAGTAGGTTTATTTAATCTAAATAAATTGTAATAAAGAAAAAACAATAGTAACTCATTCGGCAATAACGGATGACCAGAAGAGACTAGTTAAAATACAAGCCTACAATTGAAAACAAAACAAGTATCACTTTCTCATAGATATATATATATATATATATGGTGACAAAGTGAGAGCAGTGTTTCTACAATTGAAAATTATATAGAACTCAAAATAACTGTTTGTTAGCCAACATCATAATTAGAAATTTCAATATAAATGTCAAAACAGTTTCATTGTATGAAATTTGAAACTTAAAGAACTACTACAACTATCATCAAAAAAGTATAAGTATTTATAAACAGCTATCTACACAAGATACTCAATATCCGTTGACCGGATACCATGAGCAACAACTTGTTATGGTAGAAAACAAGAACGAAAAAACGCTGGAGGTGGTTGGGACACATTGAGAAAATCATCAAATTGCATCATGAGGCAAGCCCTAGCTTGGAATTCTGAAGGAACAAATAAAGAACACCAAAGAACACGTTGCAACCGAAAATTGGAAGGCAGGCATCAAAAAAATAAATAGCACTTAGAAACAGCTAGTAAGGAGGGTTGGACGCGAAATCCAGATCAACTGATGAGGCTGTAAACCTTCATCAACTAAGGTGGTCCGAACATGTATTACTTATCCCGAACCACTGCCTACATCAACGTGTGATGTTAATTGACATGGGGTAAAATCGGTTATAGCGTTGCAAATGCGTTCAAAATTTATCTTCCAAGTCGTAAGTTCCAATGTTCCTTTGCATATATACTTTCCATTCATTACACCTTCTTGAAACATATCCTCAATGTTTACCCTCGATCATTATCACTACCATTACCACTATTTTGACTCCATTGCTAGTCATTATGTTACTTTCATTTCATTCTGTTAACATGGTATACCTACCTGAGCTTATACACACTTGTGCCAGGTTCTACGTCTATTATAACCCAATGCCTATATATATTCCAGTCTAATTTAAACTCAGTAGAACAATAGGTAAACTATATCTACAGATAATTAGCTACCAAAACAAAGATCAGGCATTAATTGTTTACTCTTTGCAAACATTTAAAATTTCAATCGCTCATCCACAGCAGATGACTTGGAATCAACGTGAATCAGTTCTTTAATATGCTATACTTCACGTTATCAAAGTAGCAAGAAATTCACAAGATCAGGATCAAATAATTAGAAATATTAGTAATATCAATGACTGACCTTTAATCACATGATCACCATCTAAGGTCAACGACAGTATAATAGCAGAGAAATCCGAAAAATCTACCTAAAGTGTATCGTTACTTTATGAAATTCACTGCAGAAGAGTATGTAATCGATTATGAGAGATTATTTGACTTCCTATGCAATACATCCTATTTGTCCGGACCTTGTGAAAATCATGAACAATGAGTATATATACACACATAAAGAGAATCTACTCAGCAACATCTAAACGTTATCATAAAAAACCACTGTTGATACTTATATGGAAATAACAAATGCTTGATTGTTATGTAAAATAAGCAGCGAAACCATCTGTACGTACGTTCATAACTATCTCGTAAAATGATTCTTTTGTATACTTAAGTATTAGAATTTTAGTTCACAGTGAAAGGTTGAGACAAAGACCTTCGATACAAAGTGCGATATTAATTACTAATATTATATTTGGTCAAGGTAAAACGTTAACAATGGAACGATAAAAAAGAAAATTTTAGACTAAGTAGTATACTAACAATTTCGTTTAGGAAATCAGTTAAACGATAGGAAATACGTTGGTTTGTGATCTCAATAATATTTAACCGTATCCAAAAAACCCTTTATCATGTAGACACTAGTGACTAATTTTGAAAGGTAATTCCCAGAGGTTTAGCAAGGAGCCGTAACTAATGGATTTCAACCGCGTTAAGCGGTTACCAACCAACGACAATAGAAGATGGTTCTCGAATCTGACAAATTGACTAAACGTAGACACATATGCCATTTGATGTCGGCCCAGTGGTCTTGAGGTCAAGCGCTCGCTGCAAAACCTAGGGATCCTGGGTTCATTCCATGAATGAATTGTAGATAAACACAGTTGATGAATCCCATACAAAGACAGAACAGATGCCGAGAGAATACTGGTTTCCAATGGTTATCTAACTTAGGTTGATTCGTGATCTTAATAACATTTAACAATCTCGGCAAACCCCTGTAATAAAGACAAATAAAATGGCATTAAAACAGTACTAACCTTGAAACAAAAGAATGTGCCGATTTCAAAACCAAACGACGTTGACTAATAGATAAATTTTCTGAAAATGTACTATCATATAACAATTCATCCAACCACTTTACAAAGCGTGAAACATCATTTGAAGTGTTACCTGGAGCGATCAATTCAAATAATTTTAATAAGTCAGACATATTTTTGAAAGATTCAAATAAAGTCGAGTCATAAAACACTTTTAAACCAAATATTGCATAAATATCACCAACTTGTAAAGACGTGATCTCATTACTGTCATCATCAATTTGCATTTGTTCAACAACTTTCGCTACAACATCTGCATCAGATTTAGTTTTGATAAAGTTAAAAAGTGGATGATTATGCAATTCAGGAGATTCATGAAGATACTTGAGGAATTCAGGATAACTTAGACAATTGAAAAATGTATCATCAACGTTTAATTTTGATAAAATATCTAATATCTTTCGATGTGATTGTATTTTAAGACCATCAAATACCTGTAAATTACATTCATTAGGTAATATATCAAAAAATAATTTTATTTGTGAAAGTTGTATTAGAAATGGATAAATAGTTTGATGAATACGATGAATTAAAATTTCCATTCCATTTGGATATGTTAAAATCCATTTAATAATATGATTTATCATTTTTTTATTTTTATCATTAGTACAATCTTCATCACGGAATAAACATTCAAGACGACAAAATATACCTTCAATTTGTGAAAGATTATAACATGAACATAGTCGTAGACCAAGTGAAAAATTCGTTGAACATAATCCATATATAGTATCTTCTCGATATTTTTGATCATTATGAAAACGTATAAAATCAATACTTGGAAATTTAATAACAAGACGATGAATAAGACTTTCTCTTAAAACAATTGACAATGTATGAATAAGTTGTTTATGAAGTTGATTAAATTCTTGACTAAATTCATTAGATGTAATCAAAGAACAATATTTTGAACATAAATATTTACCTGATGGAAAACATCCACATGGAAGACAATATTCAATAGTTTTATATTCATAAACTGATATCAAAATATAACATAATAAAACTAATACAATACGACATGTACTATCGAAATTCTCAGAAATATTAGATGATTCCAAAAATGGTAATAAAACAGAACTAACTTGATTTATATAATTCAAATAGGATATTGAATTAGATGAATAAAATCGACAACATTTTGAACCAATAGCTGAATAACTAATTGCTAAACGTGTATCACGATTCATTACTTCTAAAAATGTTTTACACCAAATAATATTAGGATTACAATCATCATCATGATCATTAAATATATTGATTTGATTCAATTTAGCCCAATGAATTAGAAAAGCAAACCATAGACGTTGTTCATTTAAACCATAATTAGGATAATTAATTGGTTCAAGTTCATCGAATATATTTGATCTTAATTCAGTGAATAGATCATTTGTTAATTCGGAATAATATGGTGGTAAACATAATGTAATACCTTTATCATGATTATTATTATTATTCTCAGTTTCTAATTGATGATATTCTGATGATATTAATTTAACAAGTTGTTTATACATATTACGAGATAACTTTTTAATATTACTTCTTTCTTTTTTATTATTATTTAACATAATAATCGATAATGTAATCCATTCAAGACGTAATGTACATAATCCAATAAAATTACTTAAATCATATAAATATTCTAATGATTTACAATATGCTAATGCATATCTAGCTAGACGTAAACGATAACGTTCCACATTCCATAATTCCATAATATCTATATTCGTATTAGAGAAATTATATTTTGACCGTTCGATATTATATAATGCATGTAAATATGTCCATGAATATAATTTATTATCAAATTTCTTAATAGTATTATTATTACTACTATTACTAATATGAGTAGTATAATTATGATGATTAAAAATATCTGATGGATCATATAATTCCGATTCATAACCAGCCCAATTAGCACATTCATGCCAACATAATTCATTACGTAATTCAATTAAATCATTTAAATAATTATAAGTTACATTTAATAAATATACATTAGGATAATCATCATTGGTATTTAGTTTTATATAATGATACATGGAATGAATAAAACATATTTTTACTTGTTCAATATTTATTAAAAAACTATTAGCTATATTATGTAATAATATTGGATTAAATAAATTTTTTAGATAATTATGATCATAATTAGTTTTAGTATCTATGGAAAATAATTTAATTAATTTATTGAATGCATCAATCAATAAATCAATACGTTTATTACATAATTCATTCGATTGATTATTATCATTATTATTATTAGAGGTGGTAGTAGTAGTAGTAGTAGTAGTAGTAGTAGTAGTAGTAGTAGTAGTAGTAGTAGTAGTAGTAGTAGTAGTAGTACACCATAAATATCTTAATTTATATGGTAAATAAGATGATGATATCATTGATGGTGATAATATTTTATGAATTGTTCCAAGAAATGTTGATGCATCTAATAAACATTTTTCTATATGAAATTCTAATAACAATGATTGATTCCAATTCAGTTGATTATGTAATGAATCAATAATGGATAAACAATGACGTGCTAAACGTTCATTAGGATCTATAATTCTATTAGAGTAGACATTTGATGATGATGATGATGATGATGATGTTTGACAGTCAGTAAATACCATTTTTAAATCGGATCTCATTGGTACAGATGTATTCACATAAGTACGAATAGCATTTAATAAACAAATTCTCCATGTATTTAATGAATTTTCAGATAATTCAATAGTTTTCTGTAAATTTATACGTGATTCATTGAAATTTAAACAGAAATTTCTTGATAATTCAAGAAAATATTCATTTCCTGAAGCGAATAATGTATATTGTAAACCAATTTCTAACCATGATTCAGATGGACAATGATGAAATGCTTTTGATAGAATTTTGTAGAATTGACAGAAAGTATCACTAAAAGGATTTAAAAAGAAAATGTTGAATTTATTTCAATTTCACAATAAAACTAATTCTTTTTTTGAGTGATATTCATAATGAAATGGTTGCATTTGGACTGTTATTGCTTACATTAGAGTGAGTGATTCCAAATAGCATTATAATAAGACAATTCTCTTCCTCCAAATGTAGTGTTGTTTCGTGGTTGGTGTGCGTCAGCACCTGAACTAATGGAAGAAAGTGAAGTAGTTTATTTCATCAACCGCTTCACTTATCTAAACAGTCTCAGCAGTCCTCATATTCCAGTGCCCAAAAAAAACCTCGACACTGGTAGAGAAGGATCAAGTGGATTTTGCAAACTTGCATCATTTGTGGTGCAATCAAGACACTCATCTGTCAACCATAGGACCAGTTCACTCCATATAAGTTATCTCTGTTCTACTTTATTCACGTGAAACACCCATCGAAAATAGAAAATATCTGTAAATTACTAGTATTCGATCATCGGAGTACTCGAAGCATAATTCGTGTATTTCTGATCATCGAGTAATAAATTTTCATCAACTATAGTGTTTAAGACATGTGTTACCTATGCCGAACCAACACCTACCTCGACGGACTATGTTGTCCGGTGTAAGAGTATGCCGTAACAATGCTACGTTCAGCCAAACCAAAATATGGCATCAGTCCATGAAGTCATTGACTATTCGACTTAACCATGTTGATAGGTGTAGACTACCTGGTTAGTGTTCGCATAATTATCGTAATCATCAGTTAGAGAGTTTGAACGACATGACTTGGATTTGTTTGGAATGGTGTAGGTGCACACATTCTTTGTCTTCCCACAAATTTTAAGCTTCTGAATTTTCCATAACCTTTTGTTTTCATTTTACTCATTCAAATTTTCTTTCTAAATCACATATTACAAGGGTAATTTTTTTTGTTATCACTGTTACTACGTTTACTATTCTGGGATATAGCCTGACAGTTTCATCTCTCTGTGGTGATGAGATACGGGACTTCAACTGATTCACATACGTACCAGGTCCTACGTTGCAACTTAGTAATTGAGGTATAATACATTACATTTTGTTTTAGATCAACTTCTCATTGTACCATCAAAATATTTACAAATAGTTTTAAGGAATATTTTAAAATCTGAACACCTATACAAACTACATTTGGTTTTATGCGAAAATAAAGATTTCATATCGAATATATAAACAAAAAAGTTCACTGTTACAGTCGATGTTCTTGGTTAATTTACAATATATATTACCCCTAGCTTTCCACACACCAACTACTATTTCATGTCGAGATAGGTGGGGGGGTGCTTAACGAATCTCTTAGCCACTTCAGTCATCGAAATTTTCAAATACGACTACATCATCGTTAGCAAATGTTAATTATCAATTTTAGCATTTTATATCATGTTAAGCATTCGTGTAAATTGGCTAATAAATGGTGAAATGTGAAGAAAAAGAAACAATAATAATAATGATTATTCGCTGATTACTTGAGTTTCTTTATAGTTGATTCAGAAATCTGTGATCGTTGTATACGTTTATTATTACTATCATGAATTAATTCATCGGAGATATTATCTTCATATTCATATGTCATAGCTAATCGACTAAATATTTGCATCCAATTATTTAATAAATGACAAAAATATTTTGCATCTTGACTACATCGATAAAATGATCCAATAGAATTGAAAGGTAATTGAATTGATGAACCAATACATTTTTCAATGGATTGTATCAATGATTGAAATTCAATGAAAGCTAGAATAAATTGATTTATTAATTGAATACTTTCTAATAATTTTTTATAATTTATTTCATTAGTAAATTGTAAAATAATCATTTTATAATCTTGACAATAAATAAGCATTGATTGAATAAGTTGATTAGCAGTATTTAAGTATGTTGATAATGATAAAACTGATTCTTGATTGAATAGTTGATCAACTTTATGATCCAGTTCATATTCTTCCAAAACATAAACTAATCCATTTAATAGCCGATATGCTAAAATGTAATGAAGAAGAATATAGAAAATTATACAGTATGAAATGAAAGACATATAAAAGATGATAGAGTAAACAATAAACAACAAAACTGTTTAAATAAAAGTAAATAGTAGTAATCACTATAATATTTGTGTAAATGATAGAATATGCTAAAAGTTCTCAAACCGAAGTGAGTGGCTGTTTTAGGACGTCACTCTCTGAGCTTTTGGCAGTAGACCACCGTTAGGTAAGATGCTGATTGAAGATAGTTTATAGAAAACCCTGAACCTAGATTTTGTGCAATTTGACACTCGTCAGCAAGGTAATCTTAAGAAGACCTTATATCTCAGTATAATGGACGTGGTGCTGAGTCATTTGGTATCACTACAACTTGGTCGATAGGATTCGATTAGCGCTAAGAACCTGATATATATAACATTGATCCCTATTCAGTATCCAATCAATTGTAAAATCGACGTCAGGATATGCGATTCTACAGTACATGGCAAACAAAACGGGCACATACGCCAATTATTCTCTCAGGATCCTGGAACCTATGTACATCATCGGTTTAGTATCCGCCAGCCAGATTAAAGCAGAGAAATTTTGCTTTCCGTTTTTTCTTTCATTTTCATAAAAAGCCCCTATTCTGTATAAGGGCAGTAAAAAGAATTTTTCTGAAAAAGGCTATATATATACTCGGTTGCACGTGAGCATTTTGAGACAAAGAGCCGACTGTCCTCCAAACGAGCCACGGTATTTCAGGAGAATATGGTTCAAAAACAGAATGAATTAGAGGAGTGGAAAGCATGCAATAATATTGGAGCTGAAGAATTTTGAAAGAAGATAAGACGTAAATGAATCCGCTCCACTATTATCATTAAGAAGTCTATAATGTTGGATTAATGTAATAATTGGTTATATATATGCGGCCTATTGTTATTAGGCGCGCCGTTCAAAATTGATACTGATATACAAACCTTCTAGGGACATGCCCTGGACCAGCTACTAAGCGAGAAGACTAAGGGCAGGGAAAGTAATAATTTGGACCAAACCGATTCACATACATCAACACTCATTAATACATGTTATCCCTAGAAAATAAACTACTTTTTGACCAATCACATGCACGTGTTAACAGGAGATCTTCCATTAGCACGACGTGACCTTCTCAGTTGGCGAATTTTGATTGGCCTATTGAATCATTTACAATGGAGATCAGGATGTAAATTTTATGACAAAATGCAGAACTCCGATTTCTGTTATAAAAAAGTCGATCACATATTACGTAACGTGCCATACACTTATATGCTACATAAAATACACTCACGGTTTAAAATATTTAGATAATCATTAACACGAGAATGATTATTCAAAACGACTGCATCAGTTAGATTTATTGACAAATAATCACTAAAATCAGTTAAAGACCCCAATTTAACTGACTCCAAAAGTTTGAGGTGACCAGTTAAACCTATGTAATTTGCTGCATACAAAAGACAATGATTAATTAATTGTTGATAATCAGATGGAGAACATTTCTCAGCTAAATGTGGTAATAACTGATAAACAACAAATGAGACTAATTTATCTGAATTAACAGATGATGATGATGATGTATTATGTAGATTATCCGAGTTGATAAGATTCAAACTAATTCGAAGTAGAAGAGTTAAAATGAATTTAGAATCGAAATGTTGGAAATTTTTCATTTTCAACTGAAATGCTCTGATACATTCGTTTGTACTGCCATTATTATTATTATTACATTCTTGAGATATTATACTTGTAAAACCATTAGAAATTTGTAGTGTTGTAGTTGGAGATATATTTTTGTTGTAGATAATCTAAATTTTAAAGAAAAAGTAAAATCAAATTTATTATTAGAGATGACGTTGGAAAGACAAAATTTACAATCATAAAAGAGTAACTTTCACCCTGGATATTTTCAAAAGTTTGGTAACGAGAATTTCGAAATCATTCCGTGTAAAATAGGAGTATTTGATTTTGTTTTGAACCAGAGAGTTCGTGAACACCTCCCTTCGTGGTTAGGAAGAGGTAATGTCAAGACAATACGCAGCTCGGTTCTATCACACTTGATCGATAGCGGTCATGTAGTGGACAGAAACAAGTCATTTATCGTATTCCTACTACTTTTCCTTAAAGTATTCGGTCTCGTTTCTTACACATGGCAGAAGCTACAGAAATTCGAGCTAACAATCCAAGTTTTTGTGTTCATAAGAAATTTGTAACACCCTTGGCCTTAAATAAACGATTTTATTTATTATTATTTCCCATACTCTTTGTTCGTTTGTTTTTCTTTACACCCTCCCACCCTTTTCTTATCTCATATATATGCTTCACGATCCAATTATCTGAACACCCCTTATTACGTAGTTTCATAATCTTTCTATGAATGATATTTCGATGTCTATATTTTTCTAATCATTGACCTATTTCCGATTGATTTAAGCCTTTATTATTCTTATCAAAACTAGTACACTTGTCATCATACTATTAAGTTGTAGTTTTCGCTTATTATGTTTACTTATTTAATCTTTTCCATTATCATTGACTCATAAACTACCTTGATTGGTTTAATAATTTCGTATATGCATATAAATACATTACTGTATATTAGAGTAAAGCCTGATGAGGATCTAGTCAAAAACAATATTGTTCACTTATATATATTGTTCTAGATTTTGTTTTTATCATAGACTATTGATATACCTAAGGAATAAAGCAAAATTTCATTCTCCTAATTTTGGAAGTTATACTACTGTTAGTTTTATACAAATCATGTCACAAATAAACGACAAACTCTAATTAATACTAGATGATGTTTTTGACTTATTAGGGATAAGATTAAATTAATGTTACGATGAAATATGTTCACAAATCGGTCAGTTATCAAAATTATACTCTGATTTTCAATCTGATTTTATAGGTATCTCTGGACAGTCGTAATACATTAATACAGCAATGATATCAATAAACTACGCTCCAACAACTTGTTTCTTCAATGAAGCATAGAGCAGAATAACTTTGTGAATATTTTTGAAGCAGAGTATAACAACAGCATGACCAATATTTCCCGGAAAACACGAAGGAAGCAACGAAATGTCAATTTTTTTCAGACTTTGTATACAAGTGAAAGTGGTATTACTATTGTTAAATGAATTTTCCAGCAACCAATTCAATCAGATTTGTGATCCATATAGTTAGAGTAGGCTGGAAAAAACTAGGCTTTAAATAAAACAGAATATCTGAGTTGGGAATTATAACGCGCAGTGTACACATCACGAACAGATTTTACTAAACTACCTTTAGAACCGGGAATGCTGGACAGATTATTTCGTCCTGGTATGGGACTATTTACCAGTGTATGTAAACAACCTCATCACTGAGGATCGAACGTACAACTCTCGGTCTCACGATGAGCGTTCAATCTTTAGACCATTAAGTCTGCATCTAAAGATTTATGTGTTTAACTCTTATCAATTCGCGATACTGTGCAACCATCTTTAAATGCCACACACACACACATACTGGTCATGGTTTCGCACTAAAGCTACAGGCATTGGTGAGAACATGATTTTTAATTAGTAACAGGGTTTATAGCTATCACAATAAAGTAATAAGAGAATAATAATGATACTTACTTGTGCTAATTCAATAAAATCTCGATGAACTTTTCTCAATGATTTTAAACATATTTCTACTTCATGATCAATAGGATTTCCTTTTAAAATTTCTTCACACATAGATAAACCCATAGAAATTAAATTTAATGCATAATTAGTCAAACCAGAACGTGTATCAATTTGTATAGCTCGTTCAATTAACCAAGAAGAGAAAATTTTAACTAATTTTAATGGATTATTTAAAATTTCTACATTAAGATATAATGAAATGGAAAAATTACATTGTACACTATTCATTATCTCATTATGATGATCATTTTGTATATCAATAATAGAATTGGATTCATTGCTTTGTGAAATGGATTGTAAATTAAATAGTTTATTAAAATATAAATTTGGATTAATTGTCTCGGATAAATGAGATCCAATCAATAATCGATATAAACCGATAGATTTTGGAAAATAATCAATTAATGTATTTAATGCAATAAATTGTTGATGATTAGCATAATTTAAAGCAATAAACAATAATGAATGAATACGTAAATGACCAATAAATTCTAGAATCTCTTTAATACAAGGTTGATATGTTTCATGATGAATAAGATGTAAATGAATTGGTTCATCATTCATTGATGGATCAGATTGTAATTCATTTTTTATGATTAACTCAATACAATGAATATGAGCTAGATAAGTTAAGAAACGATCATGTACAGTTGAATACCAAATATCATTATTCATTAAATGTTTATTATTTATTAATAAATTTAAACCATAATTTAAAACTAATTGAATATTTGATAGTAATAAAGTATAATTTAAATTGGACGGTACAAATTTTGGCAGATAATTTAAACATTGTTTTATAATCCATAATGGATGAATTTTCTGAATTGGATCTAATGTTGAATGAAGAAATTGTTGAAAATTATTGATTTTCCAAAATTCATTACATAATCTAATCCACATTTGTTTATAGACAATTTCATTATTCATCTTTTTATTAGATTTATTTAATTCTAAAGCTTTATGAAATTTACCTACACGTATATAATGATCAAATAAACCATGATATGTTGTGGATTTTAATCGTGTACATCGTACACAATGATGAAAAATCATGGTTTTAGATGAATGATGTACGATGTTGCCAATGTTAGATTCAGAATCTTCTTTTAAACAAGAAGATAATAAAACAACTTCAGATAAACAAGATTGAGGATTAGATTGAAGAGCAGAATGTGTAGCAAATACAGGAAATTTTGATAGTTTTAAACTTTCAAGTTTTCTTGCTATTTTAGGATAAAATTCTGTGCCACATTTTTTTATATCTAACAAATCGATTGAACCATTTTCATGAAGAACACATAACTGAATAGTTTGATTTAATAATTCATCTGATTCTGAAGGTCTACCCCACCAAGCTATTCGGAAAGGTCTACTATACATACTAGAAGCCTGATTCACTGGTGATAATGAAAGGTTGGGGCTACTCTGAGGATTGGCAATTAGAAGAAGCAATTCAAAAGATGGAATCAACCATACAGAATATGAACCTGACGAATGAAGGCTACCAAGCAATAATTGGTCGGATATATCTGAAGATGAAAAAATTGGAAGTGAAGTAGTACTGAAATTCGCCAAAGTCATAGAAGTGATTCCATCTGTGTTATCACAAGTCAGGTAACTGTTGCGACGAAATAGGTTGCATAGTAAATGAATTGATGTGTCTTTCCATGCACTATATAAACTCATCAATCCACCAGGCATTACATCAGATGTTGAACTGGAGGAGGCTGGAATTAAATAAGGTGCCTTCTTGGACACATAATAACATGATAGTCCAAGTTTCCTATGCATTGATTTGGACACAGATACATTGACGTTTGGTAAACTAGATAAAACAAGCAAACTGGACGATGAGTCATATACAGCTGACAATAAAGGAGGTGGTTTAGAAGCTTTGTAAGTACTGATAGAATAAATTCTCATCATCATACGAGCTGGGAAACTCTTCGCTTTCCAATCTAAATGCCACAAATCTACATGACCTCTGAAATGACCCACTAAAAGGTGAGATATATCAATGAAAGACAATAAAACAATGGGAAAGAGTGGTTTCTTGTAACCAAGCGAATCGATCGACTGTGTAAAAGGAGATGGAATGAAAATCCGACTACGTCGAATATTTTGGTCCAAGTTAGGCCTCTCACTTTCATCAATTGATAGGTCAATTATATCAATGGAACCATTACTATAACCTATAGCGGTTATATAATACAGATTATCCAAAGTTGAATTTGAGCCATTGGCTGATAAATCGTACTCAAATGTTTCACTAGGTTTATACGATAAAAACGTAACTGTACGCCACTGTGGACATGGGTCCACGTAACTTAGATACCACTTTCTTGTTATCCTGGTAGAATGATTTGTAACAATCTGATTGACATCTGACTCAACATATGTAGAGCTTATGTTAGGTGATTGAATAAGTTCAAATGGGGTGATATCATTTGATTGTTTCAAATCGTTTAATGACGAGGAATTAGAACTTTGAAGTCTATTTGGCAATTCCATTAACTCTAGCCAATGAGTGGCTACAAGACACAAAGCCTGACCTTGAACGGACTCAGATGAAAGATAACCTAATTGCCAAGGGCAATTATTTTCGCGTAAATGAGCGTAAGTGACTAAAACATGGGAAGGTGGAAACCAAAAAGTCAGTACTTCCGACAATTTTCTCCAGGTGTTATAAAAAAGGTAATTTATCTTGGAAAGTGAGGATGGATCTGACTTTTTATTAGCCGGTAACTTGTCATCCGAAGACAGATTCAGTGAGGAAGGATGTACACTTGATAATGAAATATTTCGGCAACGTAACAAATCTACTGCAACAGAATAACTATTGTCTGCTAACAGCTTGGAATCCAAATTTATGGACCATTCGGCTAATTCGTCAATAATGTGTGGATAATTCATAAGGTCAAGTTTATCAGATTTCATAATATCATCGGCTGCATCGGAAGTTCTGAAAACAAAAACAAAACTATTCCAATCAAATAAAATTAAGGTAAGCAAAGTCAAATATTAAATGGTTAGTTGTGTATTGATAACTTCATGAGATAAACTGGATTGAATTTCTCTTTTCATATAAGTTACGGTTACGAAGCGGTTTATCAAACAGAATTAGACGCCAAAAGTCGACTATGCAAAAGTACGGTCATATCTGGAAGCCTAAAACGGTTAAGTAATATAATCAACGCATAATCTGACATGGATGAGTTTGGGCTCAATTTGCCACACCCCAAATAGGTAGAACATCAAAAAGCTATAGCTAATCTGAAACGAGGAAAAGCAGTTAGTCCCGACGGATTAGCTCCAGAGATTTTTAAATACGGTGATCCAGTTTTAGCGATTAAGTTGACCAATTCTTTAGCTAAAATCCGGGAACTTGACGTAATCTCATCTGACTGGCCTAAATAACGGATCGTCCCAATACATAAGAAAGGATCAAAATCATCATTTGATGACCATAGAGGAAATAGTTTGACCAATATATAGTCTAAAATAATCGCCTCAGTAATCATTGGACGTCTAATAAAGACACATGAACTGCAAATGCGAAAAAATTAGGCTGGCTTAAGACCTGGTCATGGCTACATCGACCACAAATTCTCCATTCGTCAGATCTAAGAACACAGATATGCTTATCGATGTCCGACAATGATGGTCTTTCTTGACTTAACAGAAGTATCTGACTCTGTAGACCGAGAGATTGTGTGGCAGTGTCTGTTATTTAAAGGTGTACATTAGAACTACATAAACGTTGTGAAGGCTAGTCACTTGAACACTACTAGTCGTGTCAGAGCTTATGGAGAACTGTCATCTGATTTTGCAACCTCAAGTGGTGTCCGTCAAGGCTGTTCACTATCGCCACTTTTCGGTCAATTTCATCATAGACCTACTGGTGGAAATAACGTTCTCGTCGACTGAATTTTCAGGAATTGATCTCTTACCAGGAGGTCTACTTATCGACTTTGACTACGTAGATGATATATCCTGTTTGGTAAAGACGCTGATAAGATGCAGTCTCTTTTAGTAGCAGTGAGCAACAATTGCAGGATGTTTGGGATGTGTTTCTCCACCTCTAAATGCAAGTTGTTGCTTCAGGACTGGTTTGCGACAACACTTGAACAAAAGGTAGGGAGTGAAGTAGTCGAACGCGTTGACGACTTCACTTATTTTGGAAGTTTGATCGGCATTAATGGGTTGGTTTCCGACGAAATTTCAGTACGGAATCAGAAAGCTCGTTTGGCTTCTGCTAACTTTCGTCACTTATGGTGAAGGCGAGATACCCATCTATCAATTGAGAAACGAGTATGCTGCACAGCAGTTCGCTCTGTTCTACTTTACAGCGGCGAAACGTGGCCATTAAGGGTAGAAGGTACTCAAGCTACCAGCATTTTATCACAGATAACTTAGATATATAGCTCGCAGGGTATTAGGGAATGATGATGGTAAAGCAATTGGTGAGGTTGGAAATCTTTATCGACTGGGATGGTTGGGCCATGTGTTACATATGCCTGAACACTGATTGCCACGACAGTTTGAAGAAAGTTAGGGGCGGCCAAACTAAAAAGTGGCATCAGTGCTTGAAACCACTGACTTTTGGTATGAGCCATGTTGGTAGATCCAGACTACTTGGTTGGAGTCCGCGTGACTATCATAACCAATGGTTGGAGACTCTGAGTGACAAGGCTCAGAATTGATCACAATGGCGTAGGTATATACACTCTTTGTTTTCTCTTGAACCGTGAGATTAAAATTACTTTATATTTTTCTTTCTACAAACTAATTCTTTCTCACTGTATCATATCCTTACATGCAATCTTTTTCTTTTACATATTACTACTATTGAAGTAACTGCTTCTGTGAATTCGGTGTTTATCTTGTTGTGCTAATGAGGTATGGCAACTTGAACCGATGCATATACGTGCCTGTTCCTACATTATAGCTGACTGATTGATACATATTATCAACTGCGATAAAAAGTAGAACATGGGAAATATGGTTTAAACGAGTAAATGAAAACGAAGAATAAAAGTATGGAATGCCAAAAGCTTGAGATTTAGTAGAAAATATACATGATAAACGCAACCGTGGTTAATTTTAGGTCGTCATTTAATAGCTGAAGTTTGTGAAAGCGTAGAGATCAAGAAAGGAAATATGGAGTTCAAAGTTCTTTTCGTTTAATTTGAGCAGACAGAATAGAAGTGAATAATAACTAGAATGCAGTTCAAAAGTACTTGCTATGCACTTTGAACAAAGGACAATGTCTACGTAGTAATCACATGAAAACAAGGTCACCAATGCTAAATGTAAGATTTTCCATAACCTTAATTATAATTGCCAATATCTCAGTTTTTTACTTCTGAGCTTTATTCAGTCAGTCGCAATGTACAGCTTAGTATGTATGTGCATCAGTTGAAAATACAATATCTCATCACTACAGAGAGCTGAAACTGTCAGGCCAAATCTCAGAATGGTAGAGGTAGTAATGCGGTGTGTGCTACTGATGTCCACAAATTTTAGTATCATCAATCGAAAGTGAAATGCCTGGAGGCAGAAATTTAAGAAGATCGAAGAACGAAAACGGAGAATGATTGGTGTAGAAACAAAAGAACAATACAGTGTGAGACGACTGATTGATATTTTGCAGAAAGGACAGTAAAGTTTGAGAAAATTGATTGACAGTTTGCAAATGAAACATTTAGTGTATGGTTCTCAGATTTCACTAAGATGTTCTGTAATTTTGAGTTCAAATACATACGATTGTTCTCACTTGTGATCTCGTTCAGTACAGTAACAGTATCAGCAGTGTATATGTATTCAGTGCCCCTTTTGTACCAATACTTATGTGTTCAAATAAATGAATAAAAACAAGTGGTAACAGAAAAAAATTTCGCTTGTAATATGTTATTTAGAAAGAAAATTTCAATTAGTAAAATGCAAATAAAAGGTTATGAGAAACTCAAAACCTCGAAATTTGTGGGAAGACAAAGAATGTGTGCACCTATACCATTCCAAACAAATCCAAGTCATGTCGTTCAAACTCTCTAACTGATGATTACGATAATTATGCGAACACTAACCAGGTAGTCTGCAACTATCAACATGGTTAAGTCGAATAGTCAATGACTTCATGGACTGATGCCATATTTCAGTTTGGCTGAGCGTATCATTGTTCCGGCATACTTCTACACCGGACAACATAGTCCACCGAGGTAGGTGTTGGTTCGGTATAGGTAACACATGTCTAAAAGACCACAGTTGATGAAGATTTACTACCTCATCAATTGATTAGTCCTTCCTAACTTATACAATATTCCTTACCTAAGGATTGCTTACTCGATGATCAGAAATACACGAATTATGCTTCGAGTACTCCGATGATCGAATACTAGTAATCTACAGATATTTTCTATTTTTGATGGGTGTTTCACGTGAATAAAGTAGAACAGAGATAACCGAGGTTGAAAGAGAGAATTGGATCCCAAAAGTGCTTGTACTGTTGCTTAAGATGGTCAGAAGATTGCGATATGTCAGCTTTTTCATTAAACACAGCTACATTATCTGCGTCCCCTAAGTCAACAAATGAATCTCCTGGTAGATCAAACTCCTGAAAATTCAAATGATCAAAGCGCTATCTCTAAAAGGATTAATATGATAAATTCAAACATATAAATAGGGATAGAAATGGGTAAAGCGGAAAACCCTAGAGAACATTACATGAAGTAATCAACACCGATAACAGTTTGTGATAAATGCTGGCTTGACCAGTGATGTTTTTAGGCAAATATTACATAGTCTACCTTAGACTTTGATTTCGAATTCAGAACATGGATTAATTCAACTTTAATATTTTGTCTGATGTAACATAAAAAGAGATAATTTTGAGTTTATAACTGTAAGGTGTCATGAAGTTATTACAAATGGTTGTTATCTTTAATACTGTTTTAGAAAAATGTTTTCCATCCTCTTCAAGTATATTCATACATCTAACTTATGAATAGGAGAACGCTTGATCAGTATTAACCCTCATATTTTTATCTCTTCTGATTACTTTATCTCCACATGTTAGTTCAATTCATCCAAGACGTTTCCCATACGTATTTCGTACACTGGTTTCGTTTAAATGATTAATACTATTGTTTTAGGTCGTAAGCAGCTGAGGAGAATTCGCAAAATAAGTCAATTTACGTTGTCCTGCCACGATATTTGTTTTTATTTAGGTTTATAAATAGGGAATTTTGTATAAGACCTGTGCAAGAAATCAACATTAAATTTTTAGATCTCACTGAAGCTAAAATACTAGAACTTAAATCTAACAAACATTGGTAGATCGAAATGGTCTTAATGCAAAGGTTTTTAAAGAAAGTCGGCTAGGATTACTGAATAACATAATTTATGTGTCTATTGCAGTTCAGGGGTTGGAATACAGACAAATCAATTTAACTCACTAAAATCGTGACTTTTAGTATCTAAAGCAAAATGATGCTTTGAAAGCTGGACAAACTTCAAACCTGTTTTTGAGTTTACAGACTAGGTCATCATATTTCGCTGGGCTCTCAGGTATGAGCACTTTTAATGACGCACATCTTTGTTTTGCAGGATCTATGTGAGTTAATTTATCTAGAGTGGGATTACATTACAGAAACATGTAAACATTTTATAGTCCAAAGATCAACTGAATTTCAGATGACCATTGACCTATAAATCAAGTTGTCAATGATTGAGAAAAGCTGTTTCAATACGAAATAACAAAAAGTAGATTGAAGCCACATTTAGAAAGTACCAATGTATTTTAAATGTATGAGAAGTGACTCAATTTCCGATACACCCCACAAAAACGCGACAAAAACCCACTTATTGTTACTTTGAGTAAATGCATTCTTAATCCTGCTCATCTATTAGCTCTCCAACGAAAAGAAAGCTTCAAGGTCGTTCTCAAAGTCAATTAATTTAGACATACTACTAAAATTAGCTTGACTCCGATGTAAATTCTGTGTGAAAAACCATCTAAATACGAGTAGGTACTATGATACTGTGGCTAGATGGCTTAAATTTACAAAGTTCATCATACTTTACTCGGAAACCTCACTTTTCCATTTTGCCACAACGTAAGCTTTCAAGAATTGCGCTTCAGTTCAAGGCCTATGCTTTCTTCAGATGTCAGTTAAAACGATAGAATATCTATCGATCTATATTAACACTGTGGATGTCCGATATCGTTTTGAATATATCAATGAAAGGTGTCGATTAACGTGTTCTGGTAGAGAATTCCGATAATCCACTACTCGAAGGGAGAGACGGAACTCTAGACGTAGACGATTTGATCTCGGTTTTTGAACTTTTCTCGAATGTCTTCTCAAATGATCAATCCTAAAAGGAAAGAACTGATAAGACATATTACTGCCAAGGTCATCGTTCAGTATCCGATAAGTCAACATTAGATCTCCTGTAATCTGCAGTCAGACAATAGTAATAATTTGAGGTGCTCAAGTCAGTTTTCATATGATAGGCTAGAGAGACTTTTGGGTAACACGACTCTAAGTATTGTGTATTGATACGAATCATCATAGTACTTTGATTTCATCACCATACTGTTTTTAGAATTTATTCCTCATAATCATCCACTCGGCCATGCCATTATTCTGTCTAACCTCGTATGTATGAGTCTCAAAATCTTTATGTAATCAGCGAAAAGTAGAGCAGCTTGTTGTTACAGTTGAAAATTTATTTACCTAAAGTATAACAAAGAGAGGACCAAAGATTGTTTTTAATACATTTGACCATTGTAGATCCTTTTCGGATTGCTTTTATAAAATACAATTTTTAATGGATATCAAGAGAACGTCATTACTTCCGTCCGAGATTCAAAGTGTTTCAAATTGTTGTGGGAGGAAAAGATAAAGCTTTCGCTTCGTATCTACTGGCAGTGGATTAGTTTTACCTCCATTTAGGAACTTAGGTATATCAGACGATGAAATGGGGAATATTTGTAAACCATGATGTCATTCTGTCATGAGTCGTTAAGAATTTGGCAGATTTTCTCTTGAAGGAATCGTGGAGGGTTACTAAAATTACCCCAGCTGGCATAGGATTCTAGAAGTTGAACTGTCGATTATGCTATATCGTGTCCATAATTTCAAGGTGTTACTTATAGTTTTGTGTTGGGACTGAGTTTTAGTAGGTGTTTAAGGAGTGGCCAGGATTTTGAAGGATACTATAAGTCACCAGGTCACTTTTTAGGCAGCTTCAGATTTTAGGCTTGTATTTTGAGTACAGTGGACTTCCGGCCTTTGTTGGGTTTTTTCTAGTAATCTTCTGTGAGTACATAATCGTCTCTTGGATGAGTCAATTGAAAAAGTAGACATACATATTTTGGTAACATATTGACTAGCTTGCTATGCCTTCCGAGGTGTCCTGATCTGGTAGGAAGAAACGGAGAGGATATATTAGGTCTGAAATCGTTTTCTAGTATTTTATACACCAAAATCAGATAACCTACTCTGCAGTAGAATGGAATAAAGAGGTCCAGCTTCTGATACCACTCTTCTTGTGGTAAACCGTAGATTTCTTAATTTGTTCAGGTAGCTGCCGTTTGCATTTTTTACAAGAAATCCAGGGCACCTTTTAAACAGGTGGTTGCAGCCTAACATTTGTTCACAATTTGGGATCTCCCTAAGGTTATGTGTATTATGGTGATCATATTACTATCTAAAGTGGTAAATGTCCATCTTAGAGCCCATAGAGCTCTAAACTCCTTAGCTGTGACCTTTCAGCAATGAGCCGTGATCAAAATATCATGGCTGACTATCACACGAAGATCTTTGTGAAATCAAGCTATAGGCACTGACTTTTTCTTTATCATGTACCTACTAAACATTGTATCTTCAAAGTGTGCGTAGATATGTAGAACTTATGGTCACGTCGGGCTCACCAATGTAGAACTTATGGTCTACTATGATATTAGTACTGCTCTAATAATAGACCTAATCCTAAATTTGTAGATTTGTCATGATATGACTGCCTAATCTCTAAGATCTTACGTGGAAGTCACACCATCGACTACACCAACTCACTGCATCGTATCAATTACCAATACATGATGTAGAACAAGGTTAGGCTAGAGAAAGAACAATATATTTAATATGAAAAGAAGATATAAGGTAACATTCAGCAGAGACCACGCCTGCATGGCCGAGCCATGCCGTTCGATCAACTCTAGTCTATTCAATTCATTATTCGCGCCTTCTCCATCGTTAGGTATTTCTTCGTGTTAAATATTGAATACCTATTTTCCGAGTAATCTCGTATTCAGCTTTGAGGATAGTGTGGTTATGGTCCAATGCCACTACAGATACACCTGGTTGCTCTAATAGCCTTCAGGCACATTTTAGACCAGTTAATGAGAACAACTAAGTTCGTTTGAAGTGCACGTGCATTTACATTTGATATTTCTCGCCAATATTTTACATCATCATATAGTGCTATCGGGAATTCAGCTATACTTAAGAGTTCATTTACATACATTATAAAAAATCATTGTGATGTAAACCCTAAATCCGATTCCTAACCCTAATCATGAACTGTAAATCATCGTCATTATTCTTCACACAGGTTTATAACCCTCATCTAGCTCTTTGTAAATAATTGAGCATTCTCAAGGCCACTTTTTCATCGCTTAAATATCACCTGTGAATGATGGTCTCACCCTTCAGCCCGCTGCTCTCTTGTTATGGAGAGATTGGTTGTTTAACTAGTTTTAGGCACTGGAGTGACAGTCACATCCACACAACCCGTGGGTGACTAACCTTGACTTGGTGACATACTGAATGTCGTAGCCAACTGGGCAGCAATACATTTTTTAGTTCATCCGATACTGTTGACGTTTCTGTGTTTAAAGTAATAAGAGCTTTTAGTATTTAGTGGTAAATAAATTCCCAAAATAAATAGCTCTGTAAGTTTTGAAAATTGGATGCTGACGACACTAGTTTTAATCGACTCACCTAGCTGAAGGCGCTCTATCATTCATCCGCACTAGATCACGATTGGGGACGCCGTTCTCAACACCCCTTGCAATCGCTAGCCAGGTTAGATCAGCCGATTCACGATATATTGATAGCCTATCAAGTATATCTTCAATCCTCCCCACTTATGTCTTTTGATTTCACTTGGTGGGTACGATCCATATTAAGTGTTACTGGTTAAAGCGTTGTCAAACTCCAAATACATGTGGCATCCTTAAGTACATAATCAAAAACGAGGCTCACAGTGAAATGACGATTATGTTGCTTTGTATTTGAGTCTCGTTCTTCATTCGGGAGAGGTTCCTAAGTCAATACAGAATTTGAAGCGATCTCTGCTTTGTTCTGATCTCCTACTACTTGAGATCTACCCCCTTCCATAATCTATTCCAGGATACAAATGGTAAGTTCTTGTTCTGCAACTTATGTAGAACAGAAGTTTCTTCGGCTGATGTTCACATACATCGCAATGCTCTAATGAGCACAGATTCATTGATTTTAGGCTCTCTACATAAAGTTTAAATTTCAGTCCCTGAACTGATTTCGTGGCTCGCCTTTGAATACGTTCCAGCGTTTTAACATTCTTTTGGAGTGACGAAGAAATTTATTTCCGTATTCTGAAAGAGAGCCGAACGATACTGTTAAACATTAAGTGTAAATTTCTGCAGTCGAAATGGCCAGTGTGAGGTTTACTCGAAAGGCATTTCTATCAAGCTAGTGCAAGAATTTAGATCATAGGGTACTAGAACTCTCAAATCTATTTGAAATTGGGATGCTTGTAGTGCATAGTTTGCAGCATGTTTCAGAAAGTAACCTTTTATGCTCTAGAATTAGCCCAAAAGTTGGCAAAAGACAATCCAGCATCTCACTTAAAATTTCTTTTCCGCTTGTGATTTGTTTGTGTTCTTAGAATTTTGCGATCTTTGAGTAATCTAAAATGTGAAGTGAGGTTTACTGTGTGTTATTTTTATATTAATGAATGGTAGGGTGGATCAGGAAGATGAGATACATTTGCATTAAGTTTTTCAAATAATAAAGTCGCCCGAACACTTGTCTCGCCACTTTGTACAGGAACTGAAAGAGTATAGTATTTCGAATTATTTGCATTTCAGTATAAACTAGGAATCCCGGATATAACGCAATTGAATCAAGAAGTACTAGACAAACACGAAGGAATGTATTGTATTTAGAATTCGAAACCGAGCATTCAAAAAGTACGAAAGAATTATTAGTTCATTCAAACATCACACAGAGGTTAAATAAATAATGTTCAAGTAAGAAAAAAGTAATGGATGTAAATGAAGAACAAATAATCAAACTTTAAATGTCAGAATAAGAAGACTACATACCACTCTATGTTCTAAAGTGGCTTAAAGAAAATCAGGGCTAATTTTAAGTATACGCAACCCGAGTTCGCTGATTGCCACGAATTCTGACAAATGATATACAGCATGTAAAGAGATGCAACAATGTTGATTTCAAGCCCTGTTTCGATTAAATGTTTTTTTACCAATGAACATGTTTTGCTGATACCCTTCCTTTTTTAATTGTAGCGGTAAATAAATTCACAAATAAATAGGTCTTCGACATTGATACTGACCTCATTATTTTACTGGACATAACCTAGCCGAAGGCTCTCAGTCACGCATCCTCACCAGGTAACCATTTGTACGCCATGCTTCTCATCCCTCTTAACAAATATTTAGTTCGCTTCCCACACTTCTCAACATTCTTGCTGTAAGATCCTTTTGTAAAGTTTTCTTTCTGAAAATCTCTCCACGTATGCACTGTTGTCATTTATTCTTCTTGATTCCCTCAGTTGTATAGCTCGTTGATCCGTTGATTTCATTTGAAATAACAATTTTTATGTTTTATCGTAGTTTTTGTCTTTCCGGATTCTCCTGTAGTGACTCACATTTATCACGAGAACACGACTGGTTTAATAAAAACAATTATTATTATAACCAACTGTACCAGTGCTTGTTTTAATGTGCTTTTGTTTGACTGTGCTAATGACAGCTATATTTTGCTTCCATTCTTATTCTCACACTTCGATTGTAACTTCGCACGAATTCGGTT